TTTACATTATCGAAACTTCAATAATAATTGTGATTCAAGAAATTTAGTACTGTTCCCCTACCAAACCACTCTTACTCAAAACAGTTACTAAATAATCCATCATATTAACTTTATCTAAACTAGCATTTTTTCCCGTGCGATGCACGGGATATTATTTAAAAAAATGAAAAAATAATCAGTTTAATACATAATAAGAAAATATAGTACATAGTAAAATTTAATAATGTAGTATTATTCATATTATATATCACATTAGTTTTTTTAAATATTGCAGATTAAGATTTATAATCCAAATATATAGATTAAGATTTAACGAATTGAATTTCTGTCTTTAATTCTTAAGATTTGAAATATATTGACGAAAAATAGGAAATTGATAATTGTTGAAAATTATAGTAAAAAAATTAGTAGAAAAAAATATTAAAAATAAATAATTACAGAAACACCATTAGGGCTTTTTAGGGTTGCCCAGCGTTTCTTTCTTTTATATATAAGATTTGTAATCAGAACAAAATAAGGAAGGGTGGACTTTTATAAAATAAGTCATGTCAAAATCAAGAATTAATGGCCTAAACTTTCATTAGGCCCTCTAGTGATAAATTTAAATAAATAGAGGGGAGCCCAATTTAATTTATGGAGGTGGACACGTGTACATGCGACAGTGAGTTTGGGGCATGTTTGGCAATATTAAATTGTAATTATGAAATATATTTGACGTGTAGTGCATTTCAGCCAAGTGGTGTACTTACAAAATGCAGCCACTTTGTTGTTGGATGTGAAATAAAGCCTAACGAGTATATGCTGCTATGCTTCTAATTAATTTGTGGACAAAATTTATCCAATGTGGCTTTCTTCGTAAATTGCGGTCTACAAATTTTATACGAATCATTTAATTCTTCCCTTAGAATATAATATACAAAATTCGGAGTTTGGCCATCGATTTGATCTTTTCCAAATTTGATAATTTTTTTACCAGTCAGACGTTACTTGTTCTTCTTCGAATTTAATTTGATGTTGATACATTAATATAAGGGTATAGCAACCTAACGCCGGATTGAACACGTGCCGAAGTTTGACAATGAACACCGCGAATTTGATAGAGTTTCAGAGAGATGATTTAATCTAATGAACCCTTTTTTTTTTTTGGCACTTGTTGTAAAAGAAATTATTTCAATGGTTTCTTCTTCTATTGTGTAAATTGTTGTCGTCCTTTTCTTTATTTTCGCTCCACGAACTTTTAGTAAAAATAAATGCACTTATGGCAATATATTTCGTTTTAAGATGACTTTATGAAAAAAAAAAAAAGATTGAACTCGAGGTTCTTAATACATTTTCTAGATTAGTCTATAGGCTATATCTAAAGGTTGTTTTCGTATCAATATTAGAGTTTATTGGAATTACTACCCATGTGTATATCGAATTGCAAAGAAGTATTTTTTTTACCCTATATCATTTTATTGATTAAATTGCTGTTATCATTTAATATTTTTTAATAATTGATGAGGCCAGTTTGACAAATTTGGGTCAATCCCCCTCCCCCATTTTAGACTTATTAAATATTATAAGGATAAAAGGTATGGGTCACAAGATTGTTGGGCCCACCGACATAGTACGTGTCAAAGGCAAGAAGACCTCTTTAAAAACTCGCCTGAGGAAAGCTTGTTAATACCAAACTCTCTAAAATGATGCCTCTGAGATATGAGGTTATCGAGCTCGCCAGCTCATCCGTACATGCAAGAGACGATGGAGGGGGTAGTTACCGAGCTGAAGGATAGTCATTGAAAGAAGATTATTGGAAGATATTGTCCCTAAATAAATAAGAAAAATATGTAAATTAGAATGAATAATTGAGCAATCGAACTAATTCAAATCAGATGAATAGAGAGAATCTAAATCAGAAATGCTTAATTAGAAATTCTCTATATAAACAAATGTATCAAACCTTATTATGGTACAGTTTTATTTTCAATAAAGATTAGACTCTCTTTCAAGCTCTCTCTTTTTCACTCAACATTTTCCGTCGGTCTAATTCGCCTTCTCCTGCAAGAGATTGGTGTAAGGTGGACTTTTCGGCGACCAAGGAAGTTGGACTTGGAAGAAGGTCATGATCTGTACTATCAACAATTACTATCCCTATTTAGGGGGCTTTGTGCCGAAAAATTTGAATCTTAGAAATGTTTTTGTCAATAAAATAACATGAAGTAGTTTCTTAAGGCCTCGTTTGATTACCAATATAAGATTAGTTAAGATAAAATTAAAAATAATCTAATGAAACACAATTGTATTATTGGACCTTGGAAGATCCAATAAAAACATGCCTAAAAGACAAGATAACGTCATATGTGCGGGTCGACCCGACAAGTTATTGGGGATACCAAACATTAAACAATGTCCCATTATTTTGTTAAGTAAGGCTAATCTCCCCAACCAAACGAGGCCTACCATTTCAATATAAATACAAGGTATGAGTTGCAATAAACCCTTCATATCAACACGATTCCCTTGAAGAAGTTGTAAAAATTAGTGGGGACTGTTTTGTCTTTTCTCAGTTGGAATATGTGAAGATTTCAAAATATAGTCCATGAAAGTATTGTAACAAAAGAACAAGCATCTCACATGCTGTAATTGGACTGGCTTAGTGGAAAGACAGCCAAATTCTTGGTTCCCAAAAAAACTTCATTCTTGTTTTGCAATAAATGTATGAATTGTTTGTCCTTAGTTCTACGCCGGTGTGTGTGTGCCTGTGTGTGATCATAACTCATAAGTATTGACGCGTGCCTCGTTTGATTTCATCGAATAACGTGGTCGGCTCCTAGTGATTTTGAAAAGTTATTAGCCCTTGAAACCTCGATAAATTAATATTTTTTTCTAAATTATAATTTATCATTGTCTCAATTCATAATAAACGTATTATATTATTAGTTCGATACACTAATTGAATTTTACTAGTTTCGACTGTATTATTTTATGGAAGTTTAATTAACTGTACTAGCATCCAATTCGTGGTCAAATAATGTCTAAACTTGCATTAAAATTTGTGGTTTTTTTTTTTCTAATGAATTTGAAAAATATTTCAAATGGTCCATATAGAACAAAATTTTGGTTTAATACATGATTCAAAAAATAATTTAAAATAAGAGTTCGTGAAATTTTACATGAATTTCAAATTAACTAAATAATCGAGAAATAGTTAAAAAGAAAAAACGTTGAAAAAAGTTAAAATGTTATTGTTAGATCAACTAATTCAAACAATCACATGTTATATTTGGATGGATGGATTTAAATACTATGTTTCATACTTGCACCATTTAAAAAAAAAATCTATAAATATTTAATTACTTTTGCATTTTCTTAAGAGTTAAATACAAAAACACCCATATACTGTGGATTTTGTATCATATACCCTCTGTACTATACATAAATATTAAAACCCCCCTACTGCTATATTTTTCTCAAAATCTGATGAACCTGCTAAGCCTATAAAATATAAGGGTTTGTTTGAGTCATTTTCCACTACATTTTTTAACATTTTCGGTCAATTTTATTTGGAAAATTATGATATTTTTATTTTTTTCTCCAAAGCATTTAATTACTTAGATTTTTTTTTCTGAATAAAACCTTATATTTTTGTCATTTTGAATTTCTTCATTTTTTTAAAATATTTTCCAGTAGTTCAAATTCTCAAAAATCATAGGATTGTAAAGATGTTTGTAATCTTAGGATGTTAGAACTACTGAAAAGACATTTAAGAAAAAAATATGAAGAAACTCAAAATGACAAAAACAAAAAGTTTTATTCAGAAAATTAATAAATCTAAGCAATTAGATTTTCTGAAGAAGAAAAATATGAATACCAAAATTTCCCACGTAAAATTGACCGAAAATGGTAAAATATATAGTGGAATATATATATGCTTGAGTAGGGGTGTTTTCGTCATATTTTGGAAAAATGTAACGTTAGAGGGATTTTTGTATTTATGTATAGTACATGGGGTATATGATACAAAGTTCATAGTATATGGGTGTTTTTGTATTTAATCATTTTCTTAACGAATTCCCCTATAAGGGCATCTTTAAGGTTCCAAGCTAAAATGTGGAATGCTATATCTATTATACCTCATGAATAGTGTTATAGCAATCTACTTTTCACCGTATTACTCCAACCATATCATCTATTTTATACCATTCTATTATAATTTATTATTTTTTCATTATTTATTTGATACTTTAAATATACTCTTTTCTAACAAATCTATTATTTTAATATTTTTTTCATTTAGCATTCATGTATAGTGAATGGTATATGTAGCATTTGTAAATGAGATTTTAACTTGTGAGCTAAAATATACATCTCCCTTTAAAGTGAGTTTTCTTCCTCAAAAGCTAAATCTGCTAAATTATTACTTCTACCATCTCAAATTGTTTACGGTTGGAGATGCCCTACAAAATTGGGGCCAAATACCTGAATTTCTAAATTTTTTACCTATACGCTGTCGTGTTATTTTGTAAAAATATTCACTCCCGTTATTAATGTCCTTACTCCACCCCAATCGGTTTTGAGTCCGGTTCGAGCCGAACCGAAGCGAAGCGAACCGTGGCCATATCTAGTTTGAGAGTTCAATTTTGATTTTTCTTGGTGATATTTGTCCTTTTGTGGCCAGGCAAAATGTTGGAATTTGGGCATTCATTAGTAAAAGGTTGCTGGAGTTGGGATTCATCATGCATACACTATACATACGTTCTAATAGTTGTACACGTGGCTTATACAAGTGGCCATTTATTCAGTCAGCCAATCAAATTACTCCACCTGTCCTAGACACCCTTCAACACAAAAACAGAGCGACTAACAGTAAATACTAGTTTTTAACTTTTAACAGAGCTAAGTGAAAAATTAGGGCAGATTTTTGATCTTTTCCTTCTTGAGAACGAAAGCTCTTAAAATTCATCATATATATAATTTTCCTAATATGAATTTCACTTCCATATGTAATTTATAATATATAAATGTATAGAGAGAGAAAGTAAAATTAGTCGTGAGAGTGAGTGGGAAAAGGGGGGAGAGAGAGAGAGGAGAGAGAAACACGTAAACGAATACTGTCCAAGCGTACAACGAAGGATACAGGGACGGACACGAGGCTGCGACCCCCACCGTCACCACCATCGACGACGCCGTTTTGCTTTCACTCGTCCGCCAATTTTACTAGTATTATTATTTCTAATGGCTGAATATTTGGTGTATTCCACAACTCTGCTGTAATCTCTCTCTCTCTCTCTCTCTCATTCTGCGTGGAGATTCGATTTCTCTCTCTCTCTTCCGCAGTAATGTCGAGTTTTTCCGCTTCCGAATTTAGTCTGGAAGGGGTTGACGATGTCCAGGATTTCGCATGGGTATGTGAATTTGCCACTGTGTGTGTGTGTGTGTGTGTGTGTGTGTTTGTGTGTGTGTGTGTGTGTGAATTGAATTGAATGTGTGTGTGTGTGTATGTACTGTAATTTGTGTATGTATAATTGGATAGTTGTCAATTGAATTGAATGTGTGTGTGTGTACGGTAATTTGTGTATGTATAATTGGATAGTTGTGAATTGAATTGAATGTGTGTGTGTGTGTGTGTCTGTATGTATTGTAATTTGTGTATGTATAATTGGATAGTTGTCAATTGAATTGAATGTGTGTGTGTATGTACTGTAATTTGTGTATGTATAATTGGATAGTTGTGAATTGAATAGAATGTGTGTCTGTGTCTGTATGTATTGTAATTTGTGTATGTATAATTGGATAGTTGGTTCATGATTCAGGAGCATGGCGAAGGATCATCAATGTCGCTGGAGAGGTACAGCCATCTGTATGACCTCATGCACAAGGGGAACAAGGCTTTTCGTGAAAACAGATTAGATCAGGTTTGAATCTCTGCCGCCTTTCTAGTTATTTCTTTCTTTTTTTCTTCAATTTATTGGTTTATTATCCGAGAAGTATCATTTGTTTTTTGAGGATTTTTTTTTATGTGAGTTCTTGGGAACACTTCTTGGCGTTTAATTGATGTTTCGTATAAATATAGTCCTAAAATGCTGCTTGGTGTTTTAAGAGCTTGGTTTAGACACTGATTGTTATGTGGAATTTGAGAAGATGACACATTTCTTGAATTGATAGACTGTGCTAAATGATTTAACATGTTAATCCTCATCATTCGACCTATTAGAACCCTATTAAATGATAACCTGACGATTTTGCCATGTTGAAACAAATCCTTAGCAACACTGCAGGAAAAAAAAAGGCCGTAGATGCTGAGTTTTATGTTAAATGCACACTAGACTTTGGTGAGAGTTATTGATGTTCCTTTGTTAATTGTAGGGTTGCAAGTATTATAGTTCATTTCTAACCTTCACTTTCATGAGCTTTACCTTCTGTTGATGAACAATAAATAACGAAAGCTCTCTACCTGATGAGTACTGTGCAATATCAAGACGTTTTAGATTTAGTTTCTTAGATTTAAGATTTATCTAGTGAACTGTGAAAGAATGGCAGATCACATAAGCCGAATTGATTAGCATTGTGCGTATATAATTTATGAAAACTAAAGGCTGCCTATTTATGTCTGTCTAGTCTATATATATGAAAAATGTTGGTTGCATGGCATGGGTTGCTATTTATGATATAGTTTACAGAAAATAATTAACCTCGTGATTGTGTAGCCTATATATTTGTAACATGCTATATATTTTAACTGGCATGTGCCAAGAGTTATTATATATTTTTAGGTCTTTTTAGAATATTGCTTGATGTGACTTGAGAAATTGTGATTCCTGCTCTAAACTATTGACTGAGACGAATTCAACAGCACTTTTTAACAAGTTGCACATGCTTGTCATTTTACTATACCATTTTTTTTATCAGGCCATTGAACTGTACTCAAGAGCTAACAACATTAAACCGGGTGATTCTGTTATTTTGAGCAACAGATGCGCTGCATATCTCCGGTAAGTAGTGCCTTACCATTAATTCTCATGTGTAGTCATCATATATTTATATATATCATTTAACTTGAAAATTCCTGCAGGATTAGTCAGTTCCTTAAACACAGGCCTCCTTCTGCTTCGGAATACAGGCCATTGAGTGGATTAGATCCAACAACTCATGCTGGGGTATATTCTCATTTGTCTTTTCGCCCCGGGTTATGTTTTTTCTCCATTTTTATGACGAGTCCTAGTAATTTAATGTTTGATCCTTATTGTAGCTTGCGTTGAAGGATGCGGAGAACGTGATGAGTCTACAAAGTAACTTAATAACATCCTACATTCTCAAGGCAAATGCACTCATTCTGGTGAGAATGCATTCTTGATTAATTTCTTAAGTCATATAAGTTGTGGATAATATTGATTTTGTAGCTTTTAAGGACAATTCCTTTCACAATTATGCTTATATTATCCTAGTTCATGATATCAAATTTATATGCATCTCAAACTTGTGTAGATATTGCTTACTATCTATGCCCTTTCGTAATCGATCTCATGTCTGCCTTTATTGTATTCATGGTACTTGGACCTTATGCTAGGGTATGCCATGCTTTTTCCTGGCTCAATAATAACAACACTTCAAAAATTGATATTGTTTGACAGTTGGAAAAGTATGAGCTGGCTCGCGATGTTATTTGTTCAGGCCTTCAGATTGATCCTCATAGGTAATACAGAATATCATATTTCTAATAGGGGGTTTTCCCAACTTTTTTTAATTTCTTTGACGAACTCGTAAGCAACCAATAAAAATGTCCTTTTCCAGCAAGCCTCTTGTGAATTTAGAGAGATCAACAGCCAATACATTTATGAGGAGAAGCCATGTAAAGCCGCAGCGCACTGATGACTATGATTGCACTCTTTGTTTGAAGTTACTGTATGAACCAATCACAACTCCATGTGGGCATTCTTTTTGTCGCTCGTGCCTTTTTCAGTCTATGGACAGAGGTGTTACTTCTTTTCCTCTGTTCCTTCCATTTTATTTTCGTAATTTTCTAGGAATATATTGTATCAACATAGCTCTCTGTAATTTTTTCATATCTTACATTATTAATTTCAGGTAACCGATGCCCTCTATGTCGCACAGTTCTGTTCATTAGTCCCAGAACTTGCTCGACAAGGTCAGTTTTCTAGGGCTCAAAATAGCAGTTCCTTGTTACCTATTTTCACTTTATCTCGTATAATTCATATGTAAATGCTTGCTGACCACGTTTTACGGAGTACACTGTCATTTCATACCGCTCATTTTTTTAGAAAGAGAATATCTATATAGAGGATGATAGTAGTGAAATTTAATTTCCTAGGCCTCGTGAATGAGAAATATGAAGGTTTTGTAAGTGGGCTTTCTTTTAGTTAACTGTTGTTTTCAAATAGATGTTCCTCGTAAAAGTGTTACCGAGTATGTCGATCTGACTTCTTCAATGATATCAAGCACATAAAAAGTTGGTTCGTTTTTCCAGTGTCACATTGAACAACATCATACAAAAGAACTTTCCAGAGGAGTATGCTGAGAGGAAGTCGGAGCATGAAAGTTTGACAAACCCTGGCGTTGATTTGTTGCCTCTCTTTGTCATGGATGTTATCTTACCATGCCAGAAGTTTCAGCTTAACATATTTGAACCTCGTTATAGACTTATGGTAAGTTCATCCATATGAGTTCTAAATGCCGCCATTTACAATTTAACATATTTTATTTATTTGATGTATATTTGTTTGAACAATGGATAACCTGTGGAGCCCGCAATCATGGAAAACATACTTTTCAAGTTAACCTTAAGCTAATTACTATAACAGATTGAGCCTAGAGTTAAGTAGAAGTTGGTGATTGTGATTAAAGCATTTGCTTATATCATAAAGTTGGAGGTGTTTGCAAATGTCGTTAAAAATCAACTTTTATGAGTTGATTTTTAAGTTGATGTGTTTGCAAAACAAACTTTAGTTTCCAGCTTATTTTGGTAAATAGATAAAAAATAATGAGGGCAGAAGAGAAATGTCCAATGCTACTTTAAGCTCAAAAAAGCTGATGCAGAGATGTTTCTTGAGATTATGACTTAAAACAACCTAATTTGAGAGCAGCAAAAGCAAAAGTTGTATTTGCAAATACTTAAACATAGAATACGAGACAAAAAAAGCTTATTATCTATTTCTGAAACTTTTGCAAACACCACCTTAGTGTGATATTATCTATTTCTGAAACTTTTCGACTAATCATCTCTTAAACCTTTTAAATACGTACCAGTTTAATCTTTTCACTTTTATTTAGTTGCCTTCTGCGTGCTGATTTAATGTCTGATATCAAATGTGTGAAACAGGTGAGGAG